GCAGTGGTTCAGAGTGTCGGTTCTCTAGTCAGGTTGTCTAAGGTTGAATCCTGACTTTTTCACTTACTATAAACATGCTTTTGTAATTTCTTTGTTCCCAAGTTGTCTCATTTGTAAGATAGAAATAATAGTATCTACTTCCTCACAGGGAGTTAGGGTTAAATGATTTACTATGTGTACAGTGCGGTTTCTGGCACATAGGGCTTAATAAATACCAGCAAGCCACTGCTACCACTATCACCACCACCATTACTACCGCCTTTGCCATCATCACCATCATTACCACCATCATCTTGTGCTGTCACATGTTTTTGTATGCTTTTATTTTGGCCTGGGACAACCTCACTGTCCCTCCCTGGATGTCTCCTGAATTACTGCCCATCCCGTAAGCTTCTATCTCACTTTATCTTTGAAGCCTTCTCAGCTAAGCCCATCTCACTGCACCGTGCACAACTCGATGTTCCTTTCTCTGTGTTCCATAGCTCTTTGTAAATGCCTTTGTGTTTCCCACTGCATTTGATTGTGTCTTAGCCTAGAAGTTTCTGGACAATAGGGACTTTGCCTTATTCACTGCTCTGTGCTGGCACTTTTCAGGCTCTGACTGAGTATAACTTGGAGAAATGACTGAAACAAAGCTATCCCTTCATGATTTTATATCCATCCCATCATACATTATTCTGAATATGCAGTTATACTAAGAATGATTTGAGATTGGGATTAGTTCCATAAGTCCCATGATTTTGTGCGCACACATTTATACAGGCATGTTTAAGTTTAAGGCATTAAAATAAATTACCAAAGGGATTTTCCCAGGAGTCAATATCTTCCGACCTAGTGCCTGAAGCCATCTACAGATCTTAAAACTGAGTTTAGCCCGTTTACGTTATTGCTTTTCTGCTTCAGCAAATCAGTTTTATAAAAATCTTTTTCTGATAATTATCAGTGCAGATGAATTTATTGTAAAGATTTAGAAGATACCGAAAAGTATAAATAAGAAAGCAGATGTTACTTTTAATGCCAGCAGCAAACCATTACAAGAGCGCCACTGTTAACAATTTGGTGCCCATCCTTTCATTCTGTTTCTACATATATAGTTTATATACATATGTATAGACAAACACACACATGCATATATATGGGATTATACTGTGCTTACTATTTCATAAACTTTTTCCCCGTATAGTATATTGTGATTATTTATCACATGATCACTTTCAATGGCTACATGATATTACAGGGTATGGAATTATGTTCCATGGTTTAAGTAATTTGTTATTGTACATTTAAATAATTTTTAATTCTTCAGAAATGCAAACAATACTAACATGAATTTGGTTGCTAATTATTGGTCATTTTTAAAATTTTTGCTTTGGGATAAATTCCTGTAAGTAGACTTGCTAGATAAAAGAGTATGTGCATTTTTTAGAGCTTTTTGTTTGTTTGTTTGTTTGTTTGTTTTTGATATTTATTATTAAGTTGTCCTCCAAGTATTTAGTATTTTAGTAAATTTCTTTACATTCTCACCATCACTGGATATTATTCTCCCTTTTCATTGTTTGTCAGCCAAATAAACAAAAGTGTTCTGATGTTTTAATTTTGGTTTCTTCAGCTATTGCTTAGGTCATTGCCACCCTCTCACACCCTCATGGTTCCTTAGTCATTCATATTTCCTTTTGGGAGATTCCTAAGTTCACATTTTTTGTTAGTTTTCTCTTTATAGTATTAATCTTTTTTCTTAATTTATATGACTTCTCTACCTATTAAAACTATTCATTATTTATCATGTGCTCCATAGGTCTAGTTTAAGTCTTTTAATAAGATAGAAGTATTTTTGAAAAACATGATTATATTTATAATCCTTGTTTATATATTTTTATTTTAATTCATTTGTTTGTTACTGGAAAACAAATAGAGGGATGCGGTGATCGTTTGTCCTTCCTAGGGCAAGTTTTGTTCTGAGGTCCCTCAGTATCACCCTCCCTGATGTCCCTGTGTCCTTCTTCTGCTACCCTCCCATGTCTGAGTGGGGAGGCCCCATGGGCAAAGTCGGGCTCCTCAGCATCCTTATGATGAGGACAGCCTCACATCGCCTGTACCCTCCACAAATAGGGGTCCCCCCATTTATCTCTTCCCTGCAATAAAATATGTATACATCAAAAAATGTGTTTTGAGAGTTAGCATTGTTTTATAACATATTACCTGAAGAATTTTAAGTTGCCCTTTCTAAGACAAATATCTTGAAATGTTTGGTTTTTTAAAAAAAAAAAAATTGATTTCTTAAAGTTTTTTACATAGAGTCTGAAAGGTTTGCAGATTTAAAATAATTCAGATTAAATTGCAGTGTTAAACTTCTATGGAATTTTACTAACAGTTATATTTTGGTTCTATGAAAACCATTTATATTCATGGCTCAATAATTCAAGACAGATTTTAAAAAATCTCCCCATGACATCCCCACTGCTTCCAAATACCCTTTCTTTACCTCGGATGTAGCTAATGGATAGTTTTCTGGATTTCTAGCAAATGTCCTGCCGGTTGCCAGATTATGTCAAGGCAGGGCCATCTGGTACCACCTTTTTCCAGCTATGAACACTACAGTAATAAATAGGAAGAGTTGTTTATTTTGACAAAATCACTAGACAGCCAGCGTTGAGAATGACATGTAAATCTCTGTTTAGTTTGGGTTGGAAGAGCGTTGATTCCCCCCCGCCCAGTCCTATACTTTTTAAATTTCCTGCTATTTGTGGGCTTATTAACATAGGCCTCACTTGAACATGGGCTCAGGAGGCAGGGGGAGGAAATCCTTCATTCTGTTTGAGAAGCATGAAGCTGAGCTGATAACACGATTCTCTCCCAAGTCTATTCAGATGTTGGCCAACTGCCAACACCTGCACTCGTTGAGGAGCATTTTCCTGTCAGGACTAATTTGGCCTTCTAATTTTGGAATTTATTTATTGAGTTTTGTTACACCTCACTAAGGAAATGATTTTCTTGATGAGAGTCTGGTATTCTCCATATGTTTTGGACTCAATTATTCCATTTTGAAAAATACATTAATACTAATAGGACAAACAAAAGTTGGTCATTTAAACAATCATAGAAGATAACCTCTAGATATTAACCTTTTCTGTAGGCTACCGTAGATCCCTCTTATCTACCACAACTAATTAAATTTCTACCTCCTCTACTACCAAGCTCTTGTTCCTTGCCCCTTTGATAGTTGTTGCCTTACTGGATCAAGATTATTCAGCTGTCTGTGTCTCCCACTGAACTGGCCTTTAGCAGGTGAGATGATATCTCTCGGGACTCAGAAGCCTCTGCCTGGTACACAGTAGTCTTTCAATAAAGGATTGTTGAAATGAATATATATTCCTTGTGTAGCCCTGACTTTTTATTCTGGAGTCTAGTTAATTTTTTCCCTAACGGTATTTGCATTTTTTGAGGGTAAAAATAGGCCTTATTTACATTTATCTCCCAATCCCCAGCATTTAATAAGCATTGTATCAGTACCAGCACTTAATAAATGTTGAGTTGATGGCCAAGAAGTTCTTCCTTGTACTTAACTAAAGTATTTTTTATTCAAAGCCTTTGTCTCCTCCTTCTACATGCCCAAATGTACACTTATCCCTGAGAAATGGCTCAGTAGCCTTTACCAGGCACATATGGAATGAGTTCTTTGTAACTGTAACTCTCTGAAGCTGGAGGATAAGACAGTGACCCCTTCATTAGTCCACACATTGAACATTCTAAACTCCTAGCAGGGAGGTGCTCCAATGGGAGGCTGTACCTACAGCCCTCAGCTCTTTTCTTGGAGTTCCCTTGTCAGATCTTCCCGCAGTGACCAGCTCTGTCTTACTGGCAGGACTGACCCCTTATCGGTATGAAGGCTCTGCCCAAGTGTGGATAAAAACCCCCTTTCCTGGTTCTCTTTAGGGTGGTTGAGACAGGCTGGGATTTGCAAAAAAATAATTTTACTGAAAACAAGAAAACTAAAATAATTTATAAAAGTATACCCAATTTGGAAATAGCCATATTTTAAAAATACATAATTTGGTATCATGGGCTTTTAGTAGAAACATGAAGAGCTTTGCTGTATCCCATATTCCCATTATCCTTAGAATAATCGTCAGTGATATTGTGAGTGTATTGAGTCCCAGTGAGTAACCAGACTCATCTGGGATCCCATTTTATAAAGACACACCTCAAAAAGACTCTACTCCCCATGAGAAGTAGCCTGATAAAAATCTATCCACTAGAAAAGGCCATCACTAGCAGGCCTATGTCTATATAGCCACATATAATAGAACTTAGCTTTCTTCACACATGACAATCACCCTCCTTGTGTATTCAGTCTTTATTTTCTGTGATGGATTTGTCAGTTTAGTTCACTTGATTGTAACTTGAGCCATTTACATTATGTATGTAAAGAGTGTATAGAGTGTTAATTATATATTTTTTCTTTTGTGCTTACATTGTGTACAGGTCATCTCCTTATTCTTTGTAAAATTCATTTCAATCCAAATTTTGCCTTGACTGTAATACATCTAATTAGAGCTATAATATATATTCCTTTATTAACTTCTCAGTACTTTACATAGCCTAAATTATCTGAATTTGGACATGCATCATTTAAATGTCATACAGCAAGTCAAGAATCACCTGGTAGGATTAAGAGCAGGGTAAACACTGTCAATTAGACTGCTTGCATCCTTCTAAGGCTCCAGAGTAAAGTCCTTAACGTGCTTGCACACATCAGATGTGTTGCAAGGTGAAGCTGATTCCATTGCTTCTTCTGATTCAGTGGTCGTGTCTGTGACTAACCTGTTCTTCCTGAGCCTGTGTCAAAAGAAGACACAATCATAGTGCCACCTTTTGGGGATGGTGCTGTGGTTAACCTCAGTCCTGCAATTGGATGGGACTCCTGGGCCATTGGTGGAAACCACAAACCTCGTTTTGTTTCCTGGGGTGGAAATTGAGCCTGGATTTTCTGGATGTTGCAGGGGTGAACAGCCTTTCTCAGTCACTCAGTGCCAACCCATTGACCGCCTCCACCCTCATCCATCTCGACCTCTCAGGGAATGTCCTTCGTGGCGATGACCTCTCGGTAAGTTTTCCTTTCCTTATTCTGTCTTCAAAGAAGCTATATTTAATAAGCAGGGAATGATTCTGAACATGACTTTCTAACTTATTTCTCTACATCTCTCTTTATCATGCCACCTTAAAATCATTTAGTTACAAGCTTATGAAGCGTTTTAGTGAAAATTGCAGAGCCTTCCTTAATTATAAATGTAGTCTGTCACCATAGTTGGTTTTTTCCTCATTTCACAATGCTGAAGTTCAAATTTGGGGGGGAAATAACTTTTTTCTGAAGGAATTTTATTTTTCATGCAGAAACATTAGTTCACTTGTTAAAATTGCCTGATAAGAAAGATTGGTAACATAAAATGAACTATTTCATCAGTAAATACTATTGTTGGGAAGATTGGTGGTTATTTGACAGTTTGTAGCTGAAAAGGGGTATTGGGATAAATCCCAGTTCTGGTCTATTCCATGAATACAATGGGGAGATGGATGGGCTAGATGTAACCTGGGGCCCCTCTTTAGAGTGTGAAGGCAAAAACTACCCCCTCAATTATTATTAAGATTTTTTGTGTAGCTGAATCAATAACATAAATGTTTTGCAGATCTTAATGACACACTGAATTAGGTATGATCTCATTGTCATATGTGGTGAATGGTCTCCTCTGGTCACCATGATAGAATTTAGAAGAAGTGCTTCTTCAGTGGCCATCTTTGAAGGGCCTTAATTTGCGTTCCACTGCTTTTCCACAGGGCTGAAAAACAATGTGAAATTTATTCTTATTTCTCTTGTTTTACTTTACCCATAAGACAGGGAATACAAATGAAGGCCTTTTTGTGTTTTTTTTTTTTTTTTTTCCTTTTCCCCTCCCTCTTGCTTGAAATCATTTTAATAATCTTTGTTTCCTGGTGTGCCATGACTTTTTCAATGCATTTTCCAATTTCAGTTGTCACCTTCACTGATGGATTCATAAATCTGCTCCCTCCCAAAATGCAATAAGGAGTCTGATGTGAAACCACCAAAATATTACCGTGGCAAAGGAGAGGAATAGAGGGAAGGGTAAAAGTAGAGACCGAAGATTAAATAATAAGACTCAGCTAAAGTAGGGGCATTAATAGCCACCTAAGATAATAAAATAGGCTAGGGTGGGTCTTATCCCAGCTTGCTTCTGGGGAGAGGGAGTGGAATGATGAAGCCTGGGTGACAGTGGGCTTCCAGCCTGGGGCAGACTGAAGTTCTGGGAGCATCTCAGCAGGTACAGGGGCTTACTTGGCCCTGTGCCCCCAGGAAAAGCAGCCTAGGTTGGCCTGCCTCTTTGGAGAAGTGTTGGCCAAGTCTGGTAACCGATTCATGGTGATAAGTGCTCCCCCAACTGGTGGCTTGGAGCAAAGCCACACTAAACTGAAAAGTCTAGAGGCTACTAGTGCCAGGCTAACATTGAGAAGAGACAGAGGATTTTCATGTACATGAGAGCAAAGTGAGTTTTCCGAATCAGAACTTTTGATAATACAATCCATTCTGTGTGTCTGGTTATTCTAAAACGTTTACAGACTAATTTTTTGCTCTTTTGTAATCCTTTATAGAGAGGATTTTTCTGAAGTACCATATAGCTATAGCCAAACTACTAACTACACTTAACATTTACAAGGACTGAGATACTCTCAGTATAAGCTTGTTTGTTTATGCAAGTATCTGGTGGCATCTAGTGAAGCAGAGGAGAATTTAAACTATTTGGCTGGTGGCAAGGAGCTAGGACTCAGTTTGTTATTGGTGGGCTCTAGCAGTTGCTACGTATACAGGGTAATTAGAGAACAACTGAGAGTGATCAATTTCATTATTTGATGGCTTTGTATGAAGGAACTAAAGAAATGTAGGCATTGTGACCCCCTGAAACCTGAAGTGTCTTAACTATTTGTGAGATTTTTTTAAAAAATCACTAAGAGTGCTGTCAAGCCATTCTTGTTAGATTTTGGAAATAACTAAGGATAAAAAATAATTATGTTGGAAAGAAGAGAGTACATAGCCTGAGACCATCCTATGGTTCAAATTCAAATTAGCGGTTCCTTGAACACTTTGAAAAGTGATTAGTATTTTGATAGGGTGACTACAATTCAGGTGGTATTTCAATCTCAAGAGTTAAAATTAATTAGCGCTGTTCCAAAATTGTATAATAAAATTGAGCTAATCAGGAAAACTAAGTCATGTGTAACAAAAAGAGGGGTTGGTAGTCAAGATTCCATTTGGCTTTTTTTTTTTTATTCAAACATAATTTGATTTTAAATATTATTGGGGTTTTTTGTTTGTTTTGTTTGGTTTTGCTCTCAGGGAAGATACCCGAATGACAGAAAATTGTGCTAATCCTCTGGGGTAGAGTAGAGAATGATCTTGGAATTCGGGCAACCTCCTTTTAAAACATTAACTTACATTTTGTATGTGTGTGTTTCTAGATTCTAACAGTTATTTTTTGTTTTTTCAAGCACATGTACAATTTTTTGGCCCAGCCAAATGCCATTGCTCATCTGGATTTATCCAATACAGAATGTTCCCTGGAAATGGTAATTTTTTTTTATATTGCTCTGGGGGTCTCAGAACAGCTATTTAGATGGGATATAGGGGCCTTTTCTCAAATAAAATATTCTCCTGGACCTAGAAATATTCGAAAGTAAGAGTGCCTTATTTCTTTCTCAGGTCTGTGGAGCTCTTCTCCGTGGATGCCTTCAGTATTTAGCTGTGCTCAATCTCTCCAGAACTGTATTCTCTCACCGGTATGGATTTATTTCTGTTATCATTGTTGTCTAGGAGTTTCTTTCGCTGAGAAAAAGTTGGAGTGATAATGAAAACAGAGTGATAAAGGGTGAATGTTGTACATGTTGAAGGTGGTCTTAACCATTACCTATGAATATTAGACCTTGACATTTCAAGTTTTGTTTTATCTTTTTTAGTTCCAGGTTAATGCTCTTGTCAATAACTCCAACCTGCCTATACAAATGATATGATAATGCACTATTTCTGATATGTGGACAGGCACTCTCGCTTAATATAGTGAAAACCTTTTAGAAACTTCTATTGGTATTTCTCAATGATGAACTTGGAAGTAGGTATAAACTACTTGGGGAGCAAAAATAATAGTCATCCTAAATCTTATACATAAAAAAACAGGATTCAAGAGTCTAAAGTGGAATTTGAACACTTAGCTTGAATAAGTTGCTTGAGTAAGTTTCTACCTTCCTGACTTTACAATTATTTGAAAAATAACGCAGTAGATTACAAGCAGCAAGGATTCACGCAGCACAAACTCAGAATGGAAAGAGAATACAGAGGAATTAGGAAAAGTACATGGGTTATATAGGTTTGGCATTTGGGGACCATCTAATGAATTAATACAGTTTAATACTTAGCATTCACAATTATGACCACAAGTTATAAATAATACTTTACCCATTATGTACTCTTTAATAACATGGAGTGTTACTTAATATTAGAAATTTCTTCATTTTTACTAGTTAACTTTTTAAAAGCTTTATATATTGAAAGGATAACCCTTACTTATGTGGAAAATTCAGTTTGTGGCATGCTTTTATTTCATAATTGTGCCTTGCAAAACAGTTACTCTATATTTTAAAGTACTGTTGGTCTATTACTTCAACAGTGATGTAAATCTTTACAATAGCAAAGATATTCCACAAATACCTCAATAGCATAAGGTTAGGGATTGTGAAGTCTGAAAATATAATGGCAGGAGAAGTTGAGTTTTCTAAGATACTTTATTTTAGGGGATATTTGGTAGTATTAATTGAGGCCACCTACTCAATTCATGTATGTTAAGGCAGTTTATAAAACTATGCTTTGGTGGAACTGTGATTGACTGGGGAACTGGCTTACAAGATGATAGCATAGACCAGCAGTCCCCAACCTTTTTGGCACCAGGGACTGGCCATGAACAATTTTTCCACCGATGAGGCAGGGGGGTGGGGGTTGGGGGGAGGTGGAACTCAGATGGTGATGTGTGGCCCAGTTCTTAACAGGCCACGGGTACCAGGTTGCAGCCTGGGGTTGGGGACTGTAGGCATAGACTATGAAGGTTTTTGTATAATCACCACTTTTGAGTTCACAGTATTGTGAATCTGTGATGACTGGTCTTCAGTAGAGCTGTTAAGCTTGTGGAGCAGAATTGCACTAACAAATTGCCTTGTCTTCCAAATGAAAGGTTGTGATTAAACTGTTTAATACCAAGTACCTTACCTACATATAGTTGCAGAAAGCCCTTAGTAATTATGTTGAAATTACTGCATTTACACTGAGGTGTGGATTGTTAGTCAGGCTATTTATACTTTTGTTCACAGATAATTTCATAAATGTATCAGTCTGGACAGGTTAGATTGTTCTACAGTAACAATGACCCCTTCCCTCCAATCTCTATGGCTTTCAGCAGCAGTGGTTTTGTGACATGTCCACTGTGGGCTGGCCACATCACCTTCACTCTGGGAGACAGAGTGACCTGTATCTCAAACATTGAAAGTTATATGGCAGAGAAAAAAGAGATCATGGCAGTGTACGTATTGGCTTGTAAAGCTTCTCTCTGGAAGTCATATACATCATTTCTGCTCATAACCCACTGGCCAAAGAGACTCACATGGCTAAAGGGCAATGAATACTTGGAAACAATGGAAAGGTCAACACCAAGACAAAGTAACAGGAGGGAAAGTATATTCAAAGAATAAAAGCATTTGCTCGTCAAAAAATGAACAGGAGAAAACAAACTTATATTGTTCCACTATCTGAAACCAGAGCTGAGTTGTCTTTTTTTTTTTTTTTGAGACAGAGTCTCACTGTGTTGCCCGGGCTAGAGTGCCGTGGCATCAGCCTAGCTCACAGCAACCTCAAACTCCTGGGCTCAAGCGATCCTCTTGCCTCAGCCTCCCGAGTAGCTGGGACTACAGGCATGCGCCACCATGCCCGGCTAATTTTTTCTATATATTTTTAGTTGTCCGATTAATTTCTTTCTATTTTTAGTAGAGACGGGGTCTCGCTCTTGCTCAGGCTGGTTTCGAACTCCTGAGCTCAAACAATCTGCCCGCCTCAGCCTCCCAGAGAGCTAGGATTACAGGCGTGAGCCACCACGCCTGGCCAGTCTTAGACTCTTTAATCCTGTTTTTCTTAAACCCTTATAATATGGTGTTGACACTACCTTATTATTGAGCTGTATGATTTGATCTACTTACTTCCCTCTGCAATAACAAGGGGACATATTTTGAGGTTATAGCCATTGTATTTTGTAGTTTTGTCTTTATTCTGATATTTGACCTGAAATGATCAGGTTTGTGGTATGGATGTAATAGGCCATTTGTAATGCAGGCTTCATGCCATTCAGACTTCCTGTGCTGTTCCTCAGTTCCACATCAGGTCACAATCTTATTGCATCTGAAACCTACATCTAAAAATATTGCCAAATGCAGGTAGCAATCCTCAACATTTTTTACCACCCAGTGGGAAAACTTTTTAAATTGGTGAGAAATGTACATCTTCCCTGACCTATTTTTTTTAAAACTCCAAACTTGGGGTTTCTTGAAGATCAAGAGGTAAAATACAATGAGTTCATTGGCTATAAAGAATAGAAATAAATTGTTTTGTGGACTTAATGATATGCCTTAACCTTTCTTGTGTGATTCCTTCAATTTTAAGGGATTTGATCATTTAGGCTTCAGGTATTTGTTTCTATTTGCCTTAAATTTCTACTGAAAATATGACTGATTCATAGATCACTTTACAGTGTCTTAATAACTAACAAATAAGTTTGATGGAAGTATAACCACTTGATGACTGTTGTGTTTTTTTCAGTAAAGGAAAAGAAGTACCCCCATCTTTCAAGCAGTTTTTTAGTAGTTCTCTGGCTTTGATGCAAATCAACCTTTCAGGCACAAAACTGTCTCCTGAGCCCTTGAAGTAAGTGGTTCATTCTTTTTCTCCAGAGCTTTTAAAGTTCAGCTTGTTTCTACAGATTTGCTCAAGAGAAGGGAAAAGATAATCCAGAGACAGAAAAGGCAGATGAGAATGCCTTTTTATTCTGGTGCACAAGACTTAATTAAAATTTTTTAAAGTACATTGTGTATGTACTCTTGATAATATTGCATCTTCTATAAAAAAAGTCTTTTGGTTTATGACCTTGGTAGTAGTCACTGATCGATGAAAGTTGTACTCTCAGGTAGTTTTGTTTTTATTTTAACCTCTGTTCAGTCCATTTTAGGCATATCTGTGTGTGTGTGTGTGTGTGTGTGTGTGTGTGTGTGTTAACATTTGTTCTAAATATTTCTACTAACTAGAATAATCAAACTCAAAACACATTGTGTATATGCAGCAGAATCAATTTTTAGGTGCTTTGCTTTCTGAGTTATCCAGATCAGTACAGGCTGTTTGGCATTTTTACTTGGCAGCCAACTTAATGTTACGGGTTAATATCCCTGGTGTAGGTATAGTGGTGACACTAAAATGTTTAGCCAAATTGAGGTTTGAGAATAATTTGTTATCCTTGAGATTTCTGTTTATCATTGCCAGAAAGAATCAAAAGTTCAGTGTACAAGTTCAGTGAATTTGACTATACAGTCAAATTCTCCGAGTCTAAAAAAGATGTTTTCAGGTAGTTACAATTATGCAAGTTGTCAGATATGCTCAAATGTATGCACAGATTTCTCCTTTCCCCAGCTAATTTGTAAATCTGCATTTAATTTTTTCCTTGCAATTTGTATGAAATGTTAAAATTAATGTCGCTATTCATCTTACTAGAAAATTAATCTTCAACTAATTTGTAAATTACCTTTTCTTTCCTTTTTTTCCCCGTTTTGAGAGATGTGGAGTTCTTGATTCTGCATAGTACCATATGACTAAAACAATGGATGCCTTTAAGAAAAGTAGACCCAGTCAAATGCTAAAAAAAAAAAAAATTTTGATGTTATAATGGGCTTTTTAAAAAAATGTTGAATTAATACATTTGAGATCTCTAAATGTGACAGTCGCAAATAATATAAGCCTCATGATTTGGCTCTTTGTGTGGATATTAAGGAAGATATCAGAATTGGTATTCTAAAGGGGGGAGGTTCCATTATAATTTAATCACATTCATTCAAGTAATATTTATTGAGCATCTACTATGTGCTAGATACCATGAGAGCACTGAGTAGAAAGCAAAACCAGACATGGCCCTTGTCCTTGTAGTATGTCAGAAGGAGATTAGCATATTCAAAATAGTTTTAGTGATAGGTACTGGTATTCTAATTCTTTCAATGTTTTTGACTCCTGTATAATATAGAGTAACTTTTCATTGGTTAACATAATTTATTTTATGGACTATTCTATACCACAATGACACTGAATTTACTGTAGTTTATTATAACTATATACTTGTAAATTTTCTACTTCAAAGATATTTTGTATCTTTGACCTGTTAATCATATGAATGTTTAATAATGTTAAATTTGTAGTCTCTTCAGCTCTGTGTTTCACTCCATTAAAAAATGTTGATGTGAGGGAAAAGGCTTCATGGTTGAAGATTTTGTAAAAAAAATTCCATACGCACATTTAATACGATATAATAATTTGAAAAGATAGCACAAAACCGAGATACTCAGGTTTAGCTATGTAAGGGAATTTGCAAAGAACTACCCTAAGCTAGACACTGTGCTGAGTGCTTATATATGAACTGTCATTTTAATATTGCAACAGTTGTGGGAAATTGATATCATCATCTCCATTTACAGTTGAGGAATTGAGCCTCAAAGAAGCTAAGTAATTTGCCCAAAATCACTGTCACAGATTGGGTTTCCTGGGAAACAGTCTTTGAAATAGAGATTAATGTGTAGGGTATTTATTAGGACATTCTCTTGGGATGTATTTCAAGGGCTTTAAAGAACACTGTGCCACTGTTTCTTGGTGTTTCCTAAAATCTCCAGAATAGTATGGCTTGTGTGTGTCTCAAGGGTGCTCTTTGCTCCAGCATCACTCAGAGTATAGCATGAGTTCCTATTTACTGCTCATTCTTGTTCTTTCACTTTCTCTCCCGATAACCCCTTTCTTCCTGGAGCCCTCCTTGGTCTCCTGTCATGTGGTTCCCCTCCTCCCTGGCCCCCATCTCTCTGGCTGAGTATTTTTAATAAACTTGCTGAATGTGCTACCCCCAAATTATAACTAACATCACCTATCCAGAGCTGGAAAAATTAAATACAGATTCTTCTCTTAAGCAATTTTGCAATAGTAATTGAGGATTGAAAAGATAATTGTTAAGGCAATTTTACCATCATGAAGTTTAAATAAACAACATATTTTGCCATAGAATTTTCCCCAGTGCCCACCGTGCTTTATTGTAGTTCTGTTGTATTTCACTAAGGACAATTTCTATGGGTTATTTATTTTTACTAGTCTCACGAGTATTTGCCTCCTAATCATTGGCCTTCTATAGTTGAATATCTTCAAGCATACCAGTTGTTTTCTTGGCCTTACTGCACATGTAGGAAAAGTAGGAAGTATTTTTCTTTCACTGAAGCATTATAAAAATGCAATGTTGAAATATGTGGCTAAATCCTAGAAACTCAGCATATATTAGAAGTAGAAGGGACTTCTTTGATAATATTCTAATTCTCTCAATTCACTGATGAGAACCTGAGACACACACACAAAAAGTGATGTACTTAAGGTCACACAACTGTTAGTAACAGAGCCAGGACCCAGAGGACTGGCCTTTTGTTTTTAGTCCCAAGCACTTTCAGTGACTCAATATTGCCCTCAAGAAAGAAAGGTGGGGGGAAGCAATTTTTAAGAAAAGAGAAGTAATTTAATGAGTAATTGAACATGTACACAGATGAGATACACCCAGCCTTTGTCACAGGACAGTATTGTAGAATAAGGGACTAGTGAACTGGATTAAAAGAGTAAAAAGAAAGGCGCTCACCTTCAGCCTCCTAATAGGGGTGTTATTTTCATAGCTGGAGGCAGCCAAGCTCCACATGTTGCATGGCACTGCTGGAGTTCTCTGTCAGTGAGAAAATTTCAGAGGCTTGGGCAAGATATAATTCCCTACCTTCCTACCTCACCCTTATCCTGGGGTATTTTTGGAATATGCTGGGTGGAGGTCCTTTTCCTAGGGACATGGAGAACAGATAGTCACCCCCAGGTAGCAACTGCTGCCTGGGTTCCACTCGTCTAGCAAATATCACTGTCTGCCTTGTGTGAGAGTTATTTGCACACGTATTTGAATCCCTTCCTTGAGAGCATGAATAGTCTTATGTTTATCTCCATATTCCTCACAAAGTCTAAGTTAGAATCTTCTGTCCATTCAGTGTAATTTAATGATGTGCGTGTATGTGTGACTTTTTGGTTTCAAGTTTGCTTAGTGATGTTGAATTATATAGGACTGACTTGTAAAAGTGGATCTGGATGACTAGTCTAATCTCCTCAATTTGCAGATGACAAAATTCCTTTTCAGCCTGTGCTGTGGTTTGTCCTGGCCCAGTAGGTAGTTCAACAGGCAGAATCCTGGACTCAAACTCAAGACATGTGCCTTCTAGTCTATAGTGGTTTTATACCCTTGCCTACCCACTACTGTAAGTCATTTAATACACTCATCTAGATATAATTTTACATCCTGGAATACTATGGAGCCTGACTTCCTCCCTACCATATTCCTTAGGGACAACGGGCTTTACTTTGCTACTCTAGTAACAATTGCCTAATAAGATTCTAAACATTACTAAAGTTGTTCTCAAGCAGATGCAGGTGGGAATTTATCTGTGATGAACACAATTTAATTTCAATATGCAATTAAGTGTGCTGTTGGTTTATTTGCATAGGAATAGCAGTCCTGCCAGGTTTTACATTTGTGATGGGCTCGCTGCCTGTCAGAAGACTGCTGCAGAGTCATTTTTTCACTGTTGTTGAGAGGCAGAACTGCAGTTGGCATTTTAAAAAGTGAGAGAGTGCCTGGTGCTTGACCTGTGATTCTGAAAGGGCATTTTCCTTTCTCTGGGCTTTGTTCAATGTGCTTTATATATACTTTCTTGTTGCATTGTGTGGAATTTGTATCTAATGTGTGTGTTTCCTCCCCTTCAGAGCGCTGTTATTGGGCCTGGCTTGTAATCATAGTTTGAAAGGGGTTTCTCTTGATCTCAGCAACTGTGAGGTAAGAACACTTTTAGACTATGTGCTGGAATAGATAATAGCTTCAAAATTGTCTTGTCTTTTTCATGGAAAAAGTGTGATACTGTGATTCCACAGGGTGTAAACAAAGCAGAAAAACACATTATGCAAGTTTCTGATGTTCTGTATTTTGCAAGTTTTATCTACAAACAGCCACAGAGCATCATTCAGAAAGCTTTCAAGTGTGTTTTTAATAACTTTTTTTTTTTCCTATTCTTGGTGCCTATTGCCTAAGTATTTTATGATGAAGCCTTGAGAATATAAAGCCATAAACTAGCTTTACCATCATGAAAATGAAACATACAGCATTCGTTGCAGGGGACAAATGTGTACAACCTAACTGGGATTTGTAAAATGTGAAAGACAATTGCTGTCTTGTCATTAATTTTACTTTTTAATATCTTGATTTGAAACAAGAAAATTAAAATGTCTCTGGAAATTATAGCAGTTTCAAACACTTCCTACTAAAGAACCTAGAGAGAAGAATTGAGACTAAAGGCTTCTACATTTTAGAGGACACTTAAACTTTTACTGTCTTGAAATTTTTATTTTGTGTGGTAATAAGTAAGAAAATACTCAAGTGCGAACCACTTGGCCTATTCAGAGCCTGACTTTACCCGACATATCAAGCTCCATCTCTTCTTCTCAGGAATGGAGGGGGGTGTCTCCTCATTCCTATTCCTGGGCCTTTACGCCCACTGTTTTCTCTTCAACTAAGTCCCTCTCCCTCCTACCCCCCAAGGCCTCCATCTCTTTAAGGATCTAGCACAAGTCCAATCTCCTACACACATGCATCGTACTCTTCTAGGTTATACAATCCTAGATGAATTGGTCACTATTGTAAATCTCAATTTCTGTGCCTGAAAAGTGGAGATAATATCAGTATCTCTCCTAGTGGGTTGTTATGAGGTTTAAAGGAGCCCTTCTTTAAAAAGTGCTTCTCGTACACACGAAGGTTGTTTGCTCTTGCTGTTTTCCTATCTATCTGTCTGCCAAATTTTTTCTGACTGTTTCAACCCTTTGTGATCTCAATCTTTTCTAATTGTCTAGCACTTAATGAGAGTAGCATGCATTTGGACACTGAACTACATAATGCCTTGCATAGCTATTAAATTGGCTCCTGTATGCTCTCTCTCCCAACTAGGTTGCAACTTTTTGGGGGGCAGTATTTGTGTCATGCTGTTTTGTGTTTCCCTTAGCACCTAACAAAATTCCAGGCACCAAGCCAACACTAAATATTGAGTAAGATTAATGCTTTGCTTCTCTGAAAAATTCCAGAAACTGACAAGTCTGAAATTTTACCATATAAATTGTTAGTGTAGGATTTTTCCTTAATTTTGAGCTGGGATGAATACCAACTATGTGATTTACTAGTCTTGTTGTTTTGAAAAAAGAGAAATAAAAAACAAACACACACACACAAAACCCCAAAACCTAAAACTCTAAAATACTATCCTTGCATTATGGAATTTTCATGTACAAATCAATGATCTCACATTTTTTATAAAGTTAAGATTATAAAGTAGAAACCAACGAGCACTTTACTAAGGAGCATGCCAATAATACATTTTTTTTTAATTGGGGGAAGAATGAAATGAAGGGGGATGGGAAGAGTTAATCTATCAAAAAAAGCAAGTTGGTATAAACTTGGCTGCTCTGTCAGATCAAACTATTGAATTAGCAATGACTTCTAGTAGGGTTTTACTATCCTGATTAAATGTCATGACTGCTACCAACCTAACATTTTTCATTTAACTCTATGATAAAGCTGGAATGGGCATAAGTGATCATCTGGTTACTATAGTTATGGATGAGGAAACAGATCTACGAAAGCTGAAATAATCCAGCTCACTAATGACAGAGCCATAATGAGAATACACTGTCCTGATTTTCTGTTGTTAACAATAATACTGGCAGTGATAATTATTAAAATGTTAAGTATGGTCAGGCATTTTCTTCTCAAATAAGTTGATGTGGCCATGTGCCCAAAGAACACTGTTATATTGCTATGTACTTTGTTCCTTTAACTCCTTTGTGATTTAATGGGGGTAACTTTCAGACAGTTACTTTGGGTGACCCATGTAAAATTGACATTTTTGTGTGTCAAAAATGACAGACTATTGTCGATTTTGTAAGGTTCAACTTATTGCTAGTAGACTTTCTTTTATAACTTTTTTTTATTAAGGCAGGAATTCAGATCAGATGATTAATCTCTGATGGTGTGATTGACCTTTGTTATTATGATAATTCTAACTTGATTTTGGCCTTTTTTTAATGGATTCTATGGTAAATTGAAATGGGGGAATCTTAAAAGTATCTCAGTACCATTTCTCCCACCATCTTATAGCTTCAGTTATAGTACCAGTGTCCACATTTATAAAGTCACATGTTATGCTGCTCATGAAAATTGATAAAACACAAAATTATTTTTCTAAACTATATTATAGTGTTTTCTCACAGTTTGTTTCTTAGGCCTAGATGTCCAAATTTAACTAGGTTTTATTTTAGTTTGCCTCCCTTCATGATATAGTAAACCTCCCTCAAAAAGTGTTTGAATTTACAATATAATCCATGTTGGAAGGCTTGGCACTTGCTTGTTAACCATTGGTCTTTAATCATCTATATTCATTATTTCAGAGTTTACATGATTTCTCAGAAAGAAGCTTTCACTAACTGGGAAGTTTAAAATCATGCTTATGTTTATTTTCTTTCTGCTCATTCCCTATTTAGCCACAGTAGACACAAACCCTCTCCACTCTTAGCATACCAGTTGAAATCATGGAAACATTCAGCACTAAACTTTTCCTGATGATCAGATAAATCTAATCTTAAAATCCAAAAGGTGGTGAGAAATGAAATTTCTCATCTTGGGAAGTCATTTCTACAGGGATGACTTACTCAGGCTGAGGGGATGAGAGACCCGAGATGAGTCGCATGTCTGGAGCACAGTGCTGGAGAGTGCTGAGCAGTGTTGTCCTGCAGTTTCCGGTGTGGGCACCATGTGAGTTTGGTGCCTCCTACAGGTGCCCCTAATACTACAGTCCATCCAAGCCTTGGGAACAAGGAATAATTGTAAGACCTTGATGTTGTCTTATAAATAGATAATTAACTTTAATATGAATCATTTACTATATAGAATTTTTGATCCAGATTCACTTCTACTCCTGGGAGGGAAAAAAAAAGTCAGTGATTGATTTTAAAATCAGGTTTATTTGCATGTCATTGAAGGTAAATGATGGTAAAAGATGGTGGTTGAGATTATTGGGAGGAAAGGGGAAAATAGCCTTAAAATTGGAATCAAAAGTGTCTAGATAGGAAGCTTAGAATAATTTAAGCAAATTATTTTTGCTTTTATCATAGGCTGGTTCCTTTACTGTTCATTCTTACCTTTCCTAGTGTGTTGGTTTGTAGTTCTTGGGCAATTTCTTTATTCCCTGAAAGAGGCATTTCACACTCATCAATTTGAATGAGAGAGGAGATTTACGCTTTATGCTATTAAAAAAAAAAGTACCAAGTATTATGGAGTTGCTTTCCTACAATATAAACATCATTGTTATTTGGAAAACTAAATCCAAAATTTTGGTGTATATTCTTTTGGATTTGTGATGGCTAAGGTAGTAAGTACTGAAATTAATCTTACATTTACAGATAACTTCTATACTTACAGGAAAAAACTTCTGTGTTCCTTAAGTTGTTTCTCATTAATTATTATCACTTCCTTTTCTTTCCCTTGGTCTTTTAGTACTGAGAAGGAGTCTCTTTTGTATAAGAAAATAACTCATATTAGTTGTGGTAGGCAAAAGAGTGTCATAGCCAAGGGCAGGCACTTTGAAATCAAAAGGTCCCCCTTTGAAACCTAGCTTATCAAGTGACTTACCTTCTTTCAGCCTTTGTTTTTTATCTGTTGAATGGGATGATAATAGTGTTGGGGGCTAACATTTGACACAAGTCACTAGGCCAGGCCCAACATATGTGAACCATTATCTGCAGGAGGAAGAGGATTACTGTGGAGGAGCTTCATTCTAAATGTCAGAATTTACAGGGTGGGTCAATATTGACTTTCTAAAAAATTTTATTTAGAAGCTTTACATTTTTTTGGAATTGCCTTCAAAGCTATTTTGTGTGTTTCTAGAAGACTTAGTCTCATCAACTTTTTGGTGAGATTATTTTTTCTTGAAACTTGATTTTTTTTTTTTTGGACACAAAACAGTATTACCCTCCATGGCCAGATTTGCCTCTGAATGGCCGTGGCTGATCCTAATTCACTCTCAAAGGGTAAGTAAGTATTTAGCATGAGTACAGATATTCAAAGAAAGTGTGTGTTCTACTCCCCTCTTCTAAAAGAAGTGTTTCAAAACTGTTTTATGTGGTAGTAGTGATGCAGGTATTCGTGTTTATTTTCCCCACATGCCCAACTGTCTGAATGGAGGCAGTAGATCTGTGCATTCTGGTCTGTTTTTAAAAATCTTATTACTTCATAGTCATACTTCAAGAAAATAATTGGTAAATGCTGGAATTGAATTCTTCAAATTTAGTCTCCTTCCAAATGAGAGAGAAAAATCTGATGCTTCAGACAGGATGTAAAGGCTAATTATCACTGAGGATTAGTTGTAGGTCTGGGTGTGGGAGTTAGTTCCTTTAACGTGGAAACTTTTCTGAAGATTATTCTAACAATTCATTGCAATTAATGATGAATAGAAAAAAATAAAGAGCATCAGACATTAGGATTTGTAATGAGTAGTACATTGCAACAAGTGAATGGAAACTTTTGAGGCAATTCCATTCCATTTGATAGTCACTCAGGCAGCCTTGAGGTAAGCATCATCGTTGCACGCCTCACCTATCACCTTCCTGGCAGGCCAGGTACAGAATGCAAAACTGCAAATGTTTCATGTGACAGGGTGGATGCATGTATGAAGCAATAAAATGCATGCAACTATTTTCCCCTTGAAAATGGCTGTATTTAATATACATCTTTCTCAGGTACTAAATTGCCATTTGGTATCAAACCTTGCTAGCAATTGGACATTTTGAACTGGATGTTATCTAGTCATTTTTTACTGCCCTTAGAGAAACCTACACCATTCAGTTATTTTTTTTCTTTCTTCTTTTTATATTAATAAAGAGATGGGGTCTCGCTTTGTTGCACAGGCTGGAGTACAATGGTGTGGTCACAGCTCACTGCTTCCTCCAACTCCTGGGCTCAAGTGATCCTCCCACCTCAGTCTCCCCAGTAGCTGACACCATTCAGTTTTGTGTGTGAAAAAATTTCCCTGGGTGAAAAGTAATTTTTTTAAATTAAAATTGGAACCCCTATAAAAGTAGATAATTTGGGGGTTATTTTATATTTAATTTTATAATTTCTGCTACATCTTTTTAAATGGCAAATGATCTTGAGGAAGAAAAGCTAATTATTAAAAGTTCTCTCTAGATTTTAGTTTTTCTTGCTTCCCTTGTCCCCATGATGGATATTTGAGTTATACATATAACTTTTCACTTGGAACTATCAATAACATCTGAAATGTTCCACCTTCCTTGAGTGAGGGGACACTACTCCCTTGAAAGAAACGTAATTTTATTTTTAATGTTTCGAAAAGTGTTCAGTGATTCAGTCCCATTTACTTCTCTTTGATCTTGGTTTCTTTTAAATAATGCTAGTGTGTGGGATCCAAATCAGGGTAATTGAAAAACTAGTTTTACATGCACACACGCAGACACAGCCTCTAATTATGCAAATTCATTTAAAAGGATTTTCATTTACAGTAATGGAAAAGCTTTTAAAAACTGCTTTGGGAAAGCTTTAGCTTTTGGGGAATTTTAGGCATTTAATAACCTGTGACTTCAATTGAATGTTCTTGGTAACTGAAGATCAGTTATTCTCTTATTTAAATTTTTGATTTTTGTTTAGGGAGAAAATTGTAGTCCAAAGTATTTTTTCTGACTCTTTGCATTTTTACATTCTGTATTGATAGAGACATCAGGTTCTTTGCTATTCTTGTTCTACGTACTGCTGATCATGTGTTTTGTTTTCTTTCCCTTTGGGCTTTCCTTAGCTTGGCCATTGTGTAAGTACTTTATGAATCACTAAGTTAAGATATATTGATATATTTGATTATTCTTTAAGCATTGGAAAATATGTTAGTTTTATATATTAATGTACATTCTACAAATACCAGTAAAAATATTTATAAAATAAACAGAATTGAAGACTTAATTGTTACCTGTATTTCATATAAATAAAATATTTTCAGTATACTTTACAATGATAGAACATAAAGATTTTCTTGTGGAAACTTTTATTTCTCAATAGAATGATGACTGTCAACACATATGAAATTGAAAAGACTTATGCACTTATGTTTATCTTCTCAAAAGCATACTTTTTTTCTTGCTCTCAAAATTTGCTTAAATGAGTTCTTGCTCTAACTTTGACTTAGTCTATGGACACATTAACTTCTTGAAGTGTTAACAAGCTATGACCTAGAGCAGTGCTTTTCAAAACTATGTTTTATTTTGTTTTTTAACTTTCCAATCTATCATAAACCAATATTTTTATAAAATAGGAATGAAATACTAGAAAGATTTAGAAAGATATAAAATATGCAATTCTAAGTTTGATTATTAGATGCAAAAAACTTAAAGTTTTTACTACTAAGGTTTCTAAAATATTTATATTCAACTTTTGTCCTTCATCTCGGACCAGTAACAAACTGTTTGCAGACTGGTACCAGTCTGTGGACCACTCTGAGTAGCAGGGTGCTGGGGAAGAGCTCAAGGTGGCGTTTGGGTAATCTGGAGAGTTCCTGAGAAAACAACAAAGGATAGTGAACTGGGCCTGGCGCTTACTCCTGACAGTAGCTTCACACACTAGGGTTAAAAGCTCTCTAGCCATGGAGTTGGTCTTGGTTTTTCTGAAGTATGTAGACCAGTTTCTTCGAGAAATCTGCCTCTGTGTAATAGTCTCCTTCAAGCTCACCTCAGAGCAGTCTCCTGTCATCTTAAAAAGTAGGAATGGCCAGGCATGGTGGTGCACACCTGTAATCCCAGCTACTTGGAAGGCTGAGATGGCAGGATCAGTTGAGCCCAGTTATTCCAGACCAGCCTGGGCACATAGCGAGGCCCTGTCTCAAAAAACAAAAAAGTACAAACAGCTGAATTTAGACACACCAACTGAAATACTCCTGAATAAAGAGTGATTCCAAAGATCTGTGCAGAGTTCTGCTTATCATAGAAGAGGCCAGAGATGTTGATGGGTTTTGGTCCCAGGTACTATAAAAATATTGCATGTGAAGTAGGGAAATGAAGATTCTTTAAATTCTTGTATCAAAACTTGGACAAATAGAAAATAGTACCTTGTATTATAAATTCGATGTTGACATTTATGTAAATTTTAATTTTTCTACGTGAATAAAGGACTTGTCATGTTCCTTGTTTCATAGCAGATGCCCAGTAAATGATAGATTCTTTTTCCTCATTAGATAGTAAGTTTACTGAGCAAAAGGGCCACAGCTTGGGAAATTGCATCCTTCACAAATACCTTACACAGGGTGGGAACTCAGCAAATATTTGCTGAATGGAAAACAAATGATATTGTGACCTCTGTGAAAAATGCTTTGGTTTCATGGGAAAAGATGAAAAGTACTGTATTGGGTTTTTCAGGTTGTCTTTCTCTTTGAAATAAATTAGGAAATGAGATGAGAATAACAGTTCATTCTTAGTTTTGCTCTATACCAATCATAGTAATACTATTTTGATTAATTCACCATATTTTTCTTCTGTAGCTTAAAGAATTTGTGCACATTATTTTGTAATCACTTTTAATTATCTAGTACCTGCTTTATAGTAGTGAGACCTCACACTCATTTCTATAGAACAGTTAGGGTTGGGTCCTTCCTGAAGTGTGTGACATTCAAAGTAAGTCTCATTTGGTTGTTTGGCAGCTACTTCAATGGACTCTGTATACTTTGAAATCAGCAATAATTAAATAAACAGTGATTTTCTCATGTATAAAAGGGATTTGTTAGATTTCCAAAAGTCAAAAATGAAGAAAGTTCTTCTGGATTGACACACACTATCTTGCTAGTAGTGGGCCTCAGTGGTCTACATCTTTTTTCTCTGTATTTTTCCATAATGATTTTAGGTTCTATTTTTGGATCATGTAATACAGAAAATAGCAGCAATGATGGGGCCGGTTGTGGTGGCTCATGCCTATAATCCTAGTAATCTGGGAGGCTGAGGTGGGAGGATTGCTTGAGGCCAGGAGTTCGAGAACAGTCTGAGCAAGAGTGAGACCCCATCTCTACAAAAAATAGCAAAATTAGCTGGGTGTGGTGGTGCACGCCTGTAGTCCCACCTACTTGGGAGGCTGAGACAGGAGGATCACTTGAGCCCAAGAGTTTGAGGTTGCAGAAAAAAACCAAAACACACACACAACAGCAGCAGTGACTAGTGATTGACTCTTTACCATTGATGATAGCTTTTTTGGAGTTGATAAGCTTTCACTTTTTCTTTGGTACTAAGTTTGTTTTAAGACTATCTCTCTCCTATTTTTAATTTTTTTTTGATTACACTTTTAGTAGGGTGAAGACTTTACCTTGTGTTTGGCTTGTGTTTCTCTAGCTGAGATCAGGAGGTGCTCAAGTATTAGAAGGCTGCATCGCTGAAATCCACAACATCACCAGCTTAGACATCTCTGACAATGGTAAGTCAGAAATCAGAAAAGAAAAGAAACCGAAATATTATTCGAAGCAAGTTAGTAAAGGGAAAATAATCTCCCACCCTAATCTAGACAACATCTTAAAGTAAACATATTACTTCATTTCTTGACTAATAGGGCTTTTAAATTTAACAATAGACTTTATTTATAGAATAAATTTCTGCCAAAGTCTTACTAAGTTGATTCCATGGCCAAATATGCAAGATCTATGCAGTAAAACAACTCACTCAGCTAAAAAAATATTATCAGTACATTGATAAAGGTTAACCTTTTGCATGCTTGGTGACAGTGAAATTTTACTCTTATTTATTTATTTGGAAGCTTATTTCAATAGCTTTATTTCTGCGGATTGTAGTAGCATGTTAGGATGAGCCTGTTAAATTTTCATAGACAACTTTAACTTCGGTTACTTCCCAGTGAACACTATGTTGGAATCTTCTCTCACAAAGTGATGGGGAGAGATGAAACTTTCCGCCATTATTCATTCCCAATTCCTGCTGACTGCGTTTAGCCACTGATTGTATAAGAGATTTAGATAAGTCTTTGTAGAGAATGGGTTTATCCCTGTGAAATAATAGGACATGAAAAGAGAGCAAAGAGTACTTTTGAAAATAAAAGATGAGAATCCCAGGGCCTTCAGATGGTAAAGGAAGTCATCCAACTGCATGTCACCTTTGCTTAATTGTGTTCCAGCTGAGAATTCATTTATACATATGTGTTTTGATGCTCTACTTACTCTGATTCTTTCCAGGTTTAGAATCTGACCTATCTACCTTAATAGTGTGGCTCGGTAAAAACAGATCAATACAACACCTGGCGTTAGGCAGAAATTTTAATAATATGAAATCCAAGTAAGAGTTTTGAATTTTTTTATATGACAATGATGAAAATAACCAGCCTCCTGAAAGCTTTTGATTTGATTCTACTGTCCACATCTTTAAAATCTCTTTAGAAATCTGACACCTGTATTGGACAACTTAGTACAGATGATTCAAGATGAAGAATCAGTGAGTATTATTTTAAACACTTTTGCCTAAAATCTTTTGTTATTGCCATTCTTACTGATTATTTCTACTGGGTTAATGCCAAAATGCTTTCAGATAATTTTATCTATGTGTACATTTTCTATTACTGTTTTTTTTTTTAAAAAATGGAATAAATATTTATGTTTTAGTAGAGTTATAGAATGTATTTAAAAATTTACTTATTCTTCATTCAACTCACCACCAAGTAAAGGAAGATCGTAATAGATTAAAAGAAGTATAAGTTGACTCCTGAGCCTATCTTTTAATTAGCCTTACTATTTCCTAACTTCAGTTATTAAACTAATCTGTAGGCATGAATTTTTACAACCTAGTTGACTTTATGACCTTATATAATGCTAAGAAATATCATATTGCTAGTTTGAATTTCATCTAATAATTTGCAGAACTCCAAGAGACTAAGGAAGTTTTCCTCCATCCTAAATTGCTTCTTGAGCTCTAGTAATTCTCCTTGTATTTTTATCCCCTTTAGTTACTGCTGACCAAGACTTAGTTCAGGGTAAAGAAGTTTAACTTCAGATAGTATCATATCTTGCTACCCTTTAAAATGCATTAGAAAAAGAAAAGATATTTTATGGACAAAGTAAGAAGCACTCTACCATGAATCCATTTAGTTTAGAGCTCGTCTGTCACATCTTGTATTTTACTGATGCTTTTTAAGGTTTTTGTCCCTTTCCTTTCAAAGTCCTATTTGGTCACCACACCTAAAACTTAAATCAGTTTGTATTCCTACTATGAAGAGTCACATTATTCACATTTTGTTATAGTTACTTTTACAGCTCATGAGGATGAATTTTTATATTAAACAAGTGAGATATGTACATTTTGAAAAAGTATCAATTTCCCTTTTGAGTTCATACCAGGAAATAGCAAATGCTATTACAACTGTAAGCTGCCTTTTCTGAGAAAGGTAAAGGGCCAGGGGGAATGAATGCTGGGACCTCTTCCCAACTTGCCTCTGCCCACACTGCTTTGGGGCTCTGAGCCGATGGGCAGGAGAGAGTCCTGTTCTCTTGCCTCTTCATTGTGTGGATATAATTTTTAACCTGTGGGCTAGAAAATGAAATTCATTATTTAATGAATTCAGGTACTTCTCCTTGTCCTCATTTGCTAATAAACCCCACATTTTGTTATTCTTAGGCTGGGTTATTAAAATTAAGGGTATAATTAGAATGTAATTTATACTTTTCAGAGTTTATGCTGTTTGTTTTACATATTTAATTTGACTTTACATCACTGCTTTATTTGGTTTCTCTTTTTCTTTTCTTTTCTTTTTTTTTTTTATCTCAGCCACATTGTAAGGGAGATGTTTTTGGTTTCTGATTTCCCAGTATTGGCCCAATTTTAAAAAATTGGGGAAACTAATATTGCAGAATTATACTTAATGTTCATCCCAAAATGTTTCTTAGTACATATTTTAGGAAAATTTATATTTTATGTAAAGTATATTTATTAATTTCATATTTTTCTTATTATACAAGGATCTTCAAACTGTTTCTATAATTTTGGAAGTCTCTTACTTAAAGATAATTTTGATAGTTAAAACACACCTAAAAACACATTTGCAGATGATAAAGTTTGGTATGTTAATGTGAATTCTGTCAAGTTATAAATTTGAATAGTGTGTAGCTAATAATGCTGTACAATGAAAAGCTTTTTATATTCATGTCACTGAAAAGTAGGTAGCTTTTTTAGAAAGCAATTACCTTCTTTTTTTTTTCCTATTTCTGAATCAATGATGTGCAAAACAATTTAAAATGATTAGGAGTTGAGTCTTGTGACTGCACATGATAACTGGTACAATTAAGTTCATTTTTTGTTTTATTTATTTAAGAGTTTTATATATGTACACACACACACATATATATAAAAGTAATTTTCTTTTTACCTTCTGACCTTGTGTTTGTAGAGCTTGTTCTTTGATAGTCCCATGGAATTCCTTATTCACTCAGTGTGGCACATTACCTTAAGTTGAAAAATCTAGACACCTCTGGGGGTTCCAGTGTCACCTCCCACTAGAGACAGTGGTTTTCAGGCTGCTGCACCCCAAATCATGGGATTGACTGGCCAAGATGCCAGGGAAACGTGTTCTGAAGTATTACATACAAGCCCATGTTGTAACCAAGAGAACAAAATGCGTTTCTCTTGGCAGTGCCTATAGCCAGGAGACAGATTTTCAGATTAAGCATGTTCAACTATGAAAAAGAAATAGTAAGATTTCAAATAGTCATGTTACGTGGAAGTACAATAAATCAAGGAGGGATGACCTTATAAATATGCATGCAATCCAGGCTGTTCTGTTTGCATTAATGACTCTGCCTATTATTTTTAAGTGTTAACTGGGGTGTATTAGAATTTGAATATTGTACTAGATTTGGCATTCACTAGCTTGAAGAGTTGGCAGTTTTCCAATATTATGAAGAAGCCATAATACATCATTGTTGTAGTAGTTGAATAGAGATTATTGAAATGATGAGAGATGTGATTACATCTTTATATTAAAGCAATACTACATTTGTTTTTATTTAATATATTGTTTCCTAAGTCTGAAGCATTTTTAGTTGTCTTTTCCATTTACCTGAATGTAGGATGTTAAGAAAATTGAAGCAACCTCACTAAACTTACCTGAGTCTAAACATATGCAGGCTTTTTGGCTAAGGTTTTAATGGCCTTAGCACTTAGCAGGCCATTTTACTTTTATAAATTTGATTCTAATTAATACAGTATTACCTTTTGATCTTACCATAAATGTATTAAATTTGGAAACCATGGTCAATTTTAGGTAATAAGGGCTGTAAGTATAGTCACTTGGTACTAACCAAACACATAGTGATGCTTTGTCAATATCTGAGTCTTAAAACCATCAACACCCTGATCCTGTCTCCTACTGCCCCTTGGGTAGATGCGCCTCCCACAGGTGTTGCTTTGGAAGTCAATATTGAGTGGTCTAATGAACATACATACACCCCAGGCTGTGTGTGGGACCATCATGTAGACCACCAGACACATCTTGAGAGTCCCAATCCTACCGGCCACCATGGGAACTTGGTCATAAATAATCCTTCCAACATCCACCTCCCTGTAATGCCAGAGTTGCTTATGCAATAAGCATATAGAATTGTTTTGTGTGTGTAGAACAATATAGACCACCCCAGCCAACCCAGAAGACATCCAGATCTCCCAGGGAGGTCTGAACATTTAGCCATATTGGTTCAACATGGTTAACCTGGAATTCTCAGCCACTTCATTAATTGAGTTATGGTTTAAATCTAGGATTACAAACTCAAATGACCACAGGGTTAGGAAGACAACATAAAAAAGTGTAGCAAGCCTGGGTATAAGTACGGAGCCTATTTTCTTTTTTTCTTTCTTTTCTTCCTTTCTTTTTTTTTTTGTTTTTTGTCAGATACTATGCAGTCCAATCAAAACCTGCCTCAGGCAGAGTGGCTTTCAGTCTCTGACTTAAATGGACAGTGAGTGGGCTGGTTTGGATTCTCAATACAGTTTATGGTAAAATAAAAGGTCACACAAATGTGCCTTTTTAAGTTGTAGGTGTATCTTCTGATTGATATTTAAAAGATATAAGGGGTGCTGATCAAAAAGATCTAGAATAAGCTAATGAGGGAATGTTGTATAGGATTGACAGCATGAAGTCTGGAACCAGATCTCATCTGGATTTGAATTCTAGTTCAGGTACTTTCTAATTATGTGACCTTGATTGAGTCACTTTCCTGTTTCTCTTTTAGGAAATAGGGATAGCCATAGCACCTAAGCGTTGGGTTACTGCGAAGATTCAGTGAATTAATACATTCAAAAATCTTAAACAGTAGCTAAATAAACATAATAATTGTTCAGTATTCACCTATTATTAGTATTGGCTAGCTTTTCTTATGCTTTCATCCACTATTTATATTTTTAATGTGTCATTTCACCTTATAAAAAAATGAAATGGGTAAAAAGAAATAACATAATCATAATTGAAGCTAAGAAATTTGTGTGTCATGTTTTGATTTATCTCATCCTTTCCTCCACTCAAACAGAGCTGGCACTTGTCACCCTACATGTCTTCCATGGCTTCCCTCAGAAGCAGCAGGTATTGAGCATTAAAACACAAGTTCTCCCAAGTTTGACTCTAGAGGTCCATTTTATGCCAGAACCTTGTGGTTCCATCCATCAATGTCTTTTAGGCAGCAGTTCCAAAATCAGACCCTGTGCAGTGGGTCCATGCCCTGTGATTCTCCACGAACTGGGTTGTCTCTTTGATGAGACTGTTGAGTGCTGTGTGTTGTTTGCTCCACAGCCTCTGCAGTCCTTGTCTCTGGCTGACTCAAAACTCAAGACCGAGGTCACCATCATCATCAATGCCCTGGGAAGCAACACCTCCTTGACCAAAGTGGACATTAGTGGGAACGGAATGGGGGACATGGGAGCAAAGATGCTGGCCAAAGCACTGCAGATCAACACCAAGCTCAGGTAGGCAGCTGCTGCCCCCGTCCCTCACGAGTGGTTGCTCCTCGTGAGGAAGGTCTGGAGCAGATTCTGAACAGCACGCGTTGGAGAGCATCTGTGCCTGAGGGAAGCCTGTGCTTCCCATGAGGCCAGCTGGGAAGCAGAGGCGACAACATCAAGACTTGTCAGAATAGTGGGGAGGGCATTCCCAAATTTAGACACAGGAAATCCTTCAAACTGTTGTCTTATATTTTTGTTGTGGGTAAAACCTGATTCAGAACTGTCACAGTTTCCTGTTTCACACCAGTGCTGACAGCTGACTGATGTGTGGGTAAAGGCAGTAAGAAGCAAGGAGGGTTTTGGAGCCAGCACTAAGTGAGCAGAGCCAGGCAGTGTGAAGTAATGACACCAGGGGTTTTCCTGTACTTGCCTGTGAGCCCAGGGTCTTATCTCCGCCTCCCAGCCCTGCCAATATAAAGACTTAAAACACGAGGGGCATAAGAGATCCACTGGTCCAAAGGCAGGTTCACGCTGGTTGCTGTTCTGTTTAGTGGTTTTCATCCATCGTGTTTCCCAAACGTGGCTTTTCCTAAGGACTCACTACACAATCACCCCAGTGCCATCCATCATTCAGAGAGATGGGGGTTGCTACCTAGTCCAGGAGTCTGGTGAATGAAGAGTTAATTCATTCCTCATTGTTTCTCAAGGGCTCTTATGTGATATTTCCCTAGGCTCTGGCATAAGACAGAGTCTCAACCTTCTGTCTAAACTGAAACCAAAAGCAAAAACCACAGTGATTTCTTGGAAGGTCAGTATATACGTAAAGAAGGTCATTGAGATTAGAAAGACAAAACAATACCAGTTGTGTGGCTGGGATCATCCAAACAAATCTATTTTATGTGTCAGGGTAAACTGGCAAATCCTATAATACCTCTGAGGTATACTCATTCTGAAGGTAAAATGATATTTTTCTTCCAAAATAGATTTTGTGTTTAAAAAGTAAATAACCTCCTATTTATAGTAATAGATTTTGCCAGCAGAGTGATTAAAGTTCCTAGGATTGTTAATTATACCATGTCAGGGAAATGATGAAAACATAAGGAAAAATGACAGATTTTGTCTAGTGTTTTAGAATGGGAAAAAAAAAATCTCGGTAGCTGAAATCCTTTATGTTGGGCTTGGGACTGTTTAGCATCTTTTGTAAATAGCTTCAGCCTCAGACATGAATACTAGAATGCAATTGGGAGAATATCAGAGAAATCAGATTTTAGAGTTTTCTGGCTAGTAAAAGTTAGGTAAAATTATGATAATTTAATGTTTGTGCTATTGCTTTTAAATACAGTTTTTCCACACTACTCGAGTGGTAAATGTGTTAAGAATATAATGTTGGGAGAAATGCTCATCCTTGTTTTGTTCGAAATGAAGATGAACATTATTCCTCACTCACATAATGCTGCTGTGTTGAAATATCTAGACAGTGTTGCCTATAGTAGGTTTACATTCAATGGGAGAATCATTTCCTCCATTCCTAAGTGTCTGATCATTATATGATTTGGTTTGCAAACAGGACTGTGATATGGGACAAGAACAACATCACTGCACAAGGCTTTCAAGATATAGCTGTTGCTATGGAAAAGTAAGTTTTAATTAGGAGTTCTTTCTGGAAAAATACAGAAGAAACAGTGGAGTCTGTGTTATCTGTGGGGTAAAAGAAAGATTGGGGATCAGAAGATGTGGGTCTGAGTTTAGTCTGTTGCTGACCAGCTATGGGATCTTGGAAGATACTGACTTTCTCCTGGTGGGAGAAGGTATAAAATGAGGGCAGAGATGCCTGTTCTGTCAAAGACACTGCACTGCTGTGAGGATTAAACAAGATTCTGGGAAAGGGCCACATGATGCTTGCCTTGTTTGCTTTCCCCTTTGTGGTTTCATGGTCTGTTTCCATTGGCTCTTGCTCTTTTGCCTGTTGTAACAGCTTTGAATCCACTTGGGAGAAGAAAGCTGGGGTCCAGAAAATAAAGGTGAAATTGGTGAGTGGTAAGCCCAGTGCTAACTCTGTCTCATTACTATAAAAGGTTTCCTTTATTACTTCAGTAACTGAAGTGTGCAATTATTATTTATTGTCAAATTTACTTTCCTAGTAAACTAAATGAGGAAATAGCAATACTAGCCATGGCTGAAAATAATACTAGGAATCTGGTTCTTTCTGGGCTTTTCAATCCTCATATTTATAAAGGCAGAAATGGTAAAAAAAAAAAAAAAAAAAAAGAGATTTATAGCATTAAAAACGAGATGCTATAAAATGTGGGTGGGAAATAAGAGACTATTAGCATAGAAGCCATTTCGCTGGGAAAGGGGAGGAAGTGCTCATTATTCTGTGTTTCTCCAGATTCCTTTTATATGTGAGGCCTCCTGAGAGGGTCTCTCATGCCAAACATTTCCTAGACCAGGAATTAGGAGTCCTCCATTCAGTCTTCAGCTCTGTCACCAACAAGCCTATGATCTCTATCAAAGCATTTTACCTCTCTGATTAATTCTTTTTTTCATAAAGTGAGAGGATTAGAGTAAATGATCTCTAAGTGCCTTCTGATTCCAGATCCCGTGGCTCTACTTTTTAGCCGGGAGGTCAAAGTTGTTGCACTACAAAATCACAAAGACTCAGCCCCTCGGCCCTTTCTCTCTGCTGACCTTAGGCCATCACTAAGTCTGAGTAAGGCAGCTTCCGCCATTTAGTCACCATGGCCGCCTCTCCCCAGAGCCATCCATGACTGCTGAACCACCTATGGTTACTCCTGCTGTGCCACAAAACCTCGAATGGGAACATTTGTTTACATTTAGCTGCATTTGGGTGCTAACAACACAGTTGCCACCGTTATGTTGCTGTAGACTGCCAGCCCAGACCACTGTCTGGGAGAAGCTGGGAGCATGCACACCCAATTCCCCACATTTCCAGATTGATGATAGGGCTCCTCGGATCTTCTCCAAGATGCCAGTGCTTCAGAATCTCATTTGGTTTAAATAAACTAGGCTGATCTGTAACGTGATAAAAATTGGATAAGGAAAAGGAAAATTTCCAAGGCTGTAAAAAAGACATTGTTTTTTTGTTTCAGTTGGCTGGCTCCTCTTAAGGCAAACAAAAACAATTTTGCTAAAAAAAGCAAAGATAAAAATTAAAGTTATAGAAATTACAGCTTTCTCTTTGATTATTTTACATGAAACCACCCTATAAGTTGGACTGGCCAAATATTTTTTTCCATTAAACAATATCCATCTAGACTATTACTATTATTAAGGTGATTATTTGTTTTCTTTATTATTTCTTCATTGTTAGTGCCTTATTTTAGGAATTAGCTGTTAATTTACTCTTCCAGTGGATATCATCTAAAGATGCCTGAGAGGCACACTGTGAGTGCTGCTGTTGGTTTAGAGGCCTAAACAAGGCAGCTGGCTGTGCAATTCCAATGTCCCAGTTGCCCTCAAGTGGCCCAAAAGGACATTCTTTCTGAGTGTCGTGTTGTAGAAAGGAACAGATGCATTTTGGGGTGGGGAAGAAAAGACAATGCTACTGCAGGAGTTTGCAGTAGGAGAGCAGGTGTTAGTGGTCCTCTGGGCACATAGAAGTTTGTAGCAGAGTCAGGATCAAAGGCCAGGGACCAGATTCAGAGTTCTTTGTGTTCTCCCCACACAGAAACGACTCACCCCTGCACTCTTGTCTAATCTGCCTGCCAATAGCAATGAGATAATATACGGACACAGCACTCCATAGTTGTTTCACTTGGTTTCTTGAGCCTGGTGGACTCGACTGTTCATAGAAAACTGAAAGGACCTGCAGAGGGGAAACTGAAGGGACCTGCAGAGATCAGGGCATCCAGTCGGGTAGCACACCCTTTCCCAAGAGCTCTTACAGAAGTGATCCCTTGTCTTGGATTTGTTTATTTAAAGGTGTGGTCCCCAACCCCCCAGCCATGGACCGTCCCAGTCCATGGCCTGTTAGGAACCTGGAGGCACAGCAGGAGGGAAGCAGCAGGTGAGGGAGCCAAGCTTCATCTGTATTTATAGCTGCTTCCTCTCACTTGCATCATCGCCTGAGCTCCGCCTCCTGTCTGATCAGCCTGGCATTAGTTGCAGGAAAACAAGCTGAGGGTCCCTGGTGCCAAAAAGGTTGGGGACTGCTAATTTAAAGGATCCTAGAGACTGAATAGACTATTTTGTGGATGCTAATAGCCTTACTTTGCATGCAAATGTTTTGTTTTTATTTTATTTTTCTTTTCCTCTACCAATTACAAAAACCCACATGGCAAGTTGATGCTGGACTTTTTTTTCTAGGCTTCTCTCAGTCCATCTTTCTAGTCCCCAGTGTGAAAATTCTGTCCATGACATAATTCAAAACTGAATTCCCAAAGTTGTGTCAGTTCTGCAAGACAGTATGAATTAAAAGGTTTCCTGTGGTGATGTACATGGGGATATTAACAAGGCTAGTCTGCAATCTAGGGGCTTAAGATCTGGTGATTTCAAATTTTCTAAGCTACTCCTGCAACTATCTGTTTGGATTTCAAAAAAAGAGTGCTGAATTAAGGTAATAGGAAGTATTTTTAAATGAGTATATTATTTTCTCCTTTTTCTAGGAACTATACATTGAGATTTATGCCAATTCCTATGTATGATGCTTCTCAAGCCCTAAAAACAAACCCTGAAAAGACAGAAGAAGCTCTGCAAAAGGTATTAAAGATTCCGTAGCTTGATTATAAGAAATTCACATTTGAAATGTGTTAATAATAGTTCTGAACATATGAACAGTACTTTGTTATTTTACATAACTTTTTCCCCCACATTATCTCATGTTCTTATGATCACTGCTGTCATAATGCATAACTGGGGGAGGAATAAAATAAGGAGGACTAAAACTTGTCATGCAATTTAAGTGGAATAAAATAACATTCTGACAACATCAACATGCCAGAGCTTTAGCATAGTTAACTTCCTGATGGTCCTTTGGAGAATGTGTGAAACTGAATGTCAGTTTGTACAACTTCCCTCCCCTTCATCCTCAACAGATAGAACCTGTTAACTGAAGAAAATGACATGGCTTATATATTTGGAAAGGAGAGCTTTATTTCTCATAAAAGGTTGCAGCCTGTGGGTGGCCATTCCAACTGCCTGGGAAGCAGAGCCTCTAGCCAGAAGCCAGAAACACATGCTTCTCGCTTGAAGGGAGGGACGAAGATGGGAAAGGAATATATGCTGAGTGGAGTGGCCAAATATACATATTTAACAAGCTATAGGAGTCATGAATATTTATGAAAGGAGAACATATGCCTACACATTCTAGCTTTATGCCCTTTTATGGGGTCCATATTCAGAAAATGGTGGCCCTCTGATGTCAAATTATGAAATAGAGGACATGAAAAACTTCTCTGTGCATGCTCTGTAGTCTGGGTGAAACCACTCCAGGGTTGGTGATCTCTTATGGGCAAGAATGCTGGTCTGGACCCTGAGATTTGTTTCTGTTTAGCCCTTAGGGAAAAAGAACTGATGGCTGTTAGCAAGGAAGGGGGGTATGAGGAGGCGTGTCTCACCTCCCACCCTGTCACGGCTGGGAACTCAGTGTTAAGGTTTCTCTGGGACACCCTTGGCTGAGGGTAGGATTTTATCTTAGTTCAAAAACATTCCTCCTTTCTTCATCAAAAAAATTTAAAGTATTGGCCAGGCATAATGGTTCACGTCTATAATCCTAGCACTTTGGGAGGCTAAGGCAGGAAGATCCCTTGAAGCCAGGAGTTCAAGATGAGCCTGAGCAACTGAGAGACCCTGTCTCTACAAAAAATTTAAAAATTACCCAAGCATTGTGGCATGCACCTGTAGTCCCAGCTACTCAGGAGGCTGAGGCAGGAGGATCACTTGAGCCCAGGAGTTTGAGGTTGCAGTGAGCTGTGATGACACCACTGCACTCTAGCCCAGGTGACAGAGCTAGACCCTGTCTCCAAAAAAAAAAAAAAAATTAAGGTATTATTGAGATCTCATTTCACCATATTCGTCTATAAATATATCTAAATCCACAGGCATTCCTTCCTCCTTTCTGACAAACTCAGAGGATGATAAGCATCTCGCCCTTACAAGCCCAGCCATTCACTGGTGGCTTTGACCGCATATTCTCTGCCCCGTGCTGGAAACCTGCCGCGCAAGCCATTCCTTTGCTCTTCGATGTGTTCACCCTTCTCTTTCTATGGCTACTTCTCTCTCCATTTTGGGTGTGCTCATATTTTCACATCTGAAAAAGCCTCTTCCATCCACACTGTGGTGTTACTTGGGGACTCTTTGAAGTCTTTTCATCCTCACTTTATTCTCTTTTCTTGGTGGTACTGTTATCCAAACCTCAGCACTTGTTCACAAGGCTGAATCAGAAAAATGAGGACAAGTGTTTTGGGGAGAGAGGAAAGAGACATTTTATTACTTTGTCAGCAAAGGAGGAGGATGGAGACTCCTGTCTAAAAAGCCATCATCCTAATAATAAGCCAAAATACAGAGCTTTTAAAGGATGGGCTCTCAGCTTCAGGCAAATACTGTTCAACTACAGTCCCATCAATCTCAGGACCTCCACCTGGACCTCCCTTTACCAGGTCTGGGATGAGCCTTCTCCTTTAGCAGAAATAAAAGACTTACCCTGCCCCTCCTAACCACTGGCCTGAGGAAGGGATGCAGGTTTTAATTCTCAAATAAGGAGTGAAGGATTTTTTAAAGAGACAGCCATTTTTTCAGGCCATTCCCTCTGTTACTTATTCCCCAGTCTCACTATTTCCCTTCCATATCTATGAGAGGAGGGGTGACGACTATGTCACAGTACCACTCTCCATTCAGTCTTCCAAGATTGCCTTGCCTTTCCCCACATCTCCTGTAGCCAGCCAGTCACCAAGTCCACTGATTCTGTAGCATAAATCTCTTCAGTTGCTCTCTTCTGCTCTGTTCCTGTTCCTGCTCTGTTCCTGCTGTGTTCCTTCCTTCAAACCTCATCAGCTCTTACCTGGATTACTGTCACATTTGCCTCCTCCTGTTAGTTTTCCATGTTTGGGCTATTTTCCAAAAATAGCAATCATATTTCATGGTCAATCTGAGCAGACTAAAACGTTCACTCAGTCTTTCCCCAGTGGCTTTCAGAATAAATAAAGCCTGGACTTCTTCACACAGCAGAACTTTCTATCCAGGATCCGCCTCCTGTCCACCTCCCACTTCATCTCTTACTAGTTCTTAACTTTTTGTTTTGCTTTGCCTCAAGCAGCTCATTAGAAATGCAAATTCTTGAGCCTCAGGAACTAGGGTAGGATTTAGCAGTTTGTGTTTCCACAAGCTCTCCTGGGGATTTTGAAGTTGCAGAATCACAGCCACACTCCAGGCCACACTCCAGACATCTTCCTGCTTTCCCTACTATCATGCATGGCTGTTGAGATTGAAATCAAATGTCAGCTCATCTAGAAAGACTTCTCAGAGCCCCTTCCTTCCCCTAGGTGCAAGGTCTTCTCAGGATTTCCTGTTCTTCTCTCGGTCATTGGCCTTGTGACATTGTTTTAAGTTACTTGCGTCCATATTTTTTCTTCTGATGAACTGTGAGCTCCTTGAAGGAACAGCTTGTGGAATTTTTCTTCTTTTTTATTCCCAGCAGCTAGCACAGTGCCTGGCGTGCATGCTTGGATCCTTCTTAGGCATTTGTTGAATAAAATGGAGTAAGATTGGGGGTGAGGGCAGAGACAGCTGCGCTATAGCAAAAGAAATTATCCAAGATTTGGATTCATATCTGACTTCCAGTCAAACCCTTCCTGTAACTTCCAATAAGTTGCTTGATTTTTCTGAACTTTTTTGTCATCTATATAAGTAGGAAAAATAAAGCTGTACTATAACTATGTTTAGGTGACATTTAACATATAGTTATTACTGGGTGTCTGGCACTGTTTTAAATGCTTTACATAAATTAATACATGTAGTCTTTAAACTGCTACACTAGAAAAAAAATTTTTGCCTTGGGACCACAGTGTTTTATTACAAAAATAGAATAAAAACTTCAAAAACAAAATGATCCTTTCTAATTTAATGAAAAATTTGTTATTTTTTTATTGTTTTGTTTGCGTGAGTTTACTCGGCTCCCAAGGTGAAGAGACATGTGACTCATGAAACACAGAGGCCCTGGCTCAAAACCAGCGTGAGTTAAATACAATTCACATGGCAGTTAATGTGTTAAAATAAGCCCATGAAATAAGCTCTATTATTACAGATAAAGAAAATGAAGGGCAGGGAGAAAAAGTAGTTTTCCTGAGGTGACCATGAAGATTCAAGGAGGTAGTATGGGTGAAAAGCAGTTTGTTAATAAATGTTAGATATCTTTATATTTTCTAAAGGGATATTAGTCAGCTTCAAATCAATGACATACTCTAGAGAAACCAGGTTTCTGGTTTCAGATTTGACATCTAAAGAGCTTGAAAGTCATCACTCCCATCCTTACAACAAGGAAAAAAAATTGAACAAACGGAAAATCAACAACTTTTCTTTGATCTATCGGACAGCTGAGGCCACAAGGCAAGCTGTCACCCTGGAAACTGCAGAGACAGGCAAGTACAGAGAATCACAGTGAATCAGTGAATCATAGCCAAGATCCGCTACCAGGATCCAAAGCTGGTAGAGTCACTAACTCAGAGGAGCACTTAAACAGTAACTAATGAATTGCTAGAAGCTTAGTGTAGAATAGCTTAAGAACTAAAAACTCTTAGGAGTCTACTTTTAGGGAAGCCCCAGTCCTTTCATGGGTTTCATTTCCAGAAGCTCCATCAGGCTGTCATGATAAAGAATGGAGAAGACTTCCTTATGTTTCTGGCAGGGAGAAGGGGGGAAAAGTAACCACTTTGAAATACACCTAGTTATATTCTGTTCTCTATAACGAAGGCCTACTAGCCAGAGAACTACTTTACCAGAGCCTTATCTAAACTGGAGGAAGGACAATTAGACAACTCAGCCCCCTATAGCTCTTCTGTCTCCCATAAGGGGAAGGGGAAAAAAGGCTAAGAAACATTTCTGAAGGCCACAGCCCAGGGACCCAGGACCATTTAAAAAAAACCCCTAAATTTAATCATAAAATTATAGAATGCTTCCCCTCCTTAACATCTTATCACCACATCAAATAAAGTAACAGTGGATTACAGTTGAGCAAGCTGCAAGACACAGACTCTAATTAAGAAAGAGTTTCTAGGGAAACCTCAAAATGACAGGGAAGACAAAGACAAGGACACTGGAGGAAACTGAAGCCTCTGGCACTTACAGGTACAGCACGTATTAAACACAGCCCAACTCCCAGCCAGGTTAACATAAAACCTACACTAAAAGCCTGGTTATTATAGTTCCTATTACTGGATATATCATGCCCAGCTTTCTACCAAAAATTATAAGGCATGCTAAAAGGCAAGAAAAAACACAATGTGAAATAGACAAAGCAAGCATCAGAACCGACTTGTATATGACACAGATTTTGGAATTAATCAAACAGGGAATTTGAGATAACTGTGATTAACATGGTAAGAGCCCTAATGGAAAAAGCAGACAGGATGCGAGAATGGATAGGTAATGTAAGTATAGAAATGAAAACTCTTAAGAAAAAAATAAAAGAAAATGCTAGAAATAAAAATCTTGTGGCAGAAATGAAGAATACCTTTGATGAGCTCATCAGTGGATTGGACACAGCCAAGGAAAGAACCATTGAGCTTGAAGATTCTTCAATAGAATCTTCCCAAACTAAATTGCAAAGAGAAAAAAGAATGAAAGAAAAAAGAAGAAAAAGAATAGACTATCCCAGAACTGTGGGACAATTATAAGAAGATGTACATGCATGTAATGGGAATACCAGAAGGAAAATAGAGAATGGAAGAGAAGAAACATCATAAGTAGTAGTGGCTGAGAATTTTCTGAAATTAATGACAGACACTAAACCACAAATCCAGAAAGCTCAGAGAGCACCAACCAGGCTAAATACCAGAAAACGTACACATAGGCATATCACATTCAAACTGTGGAAAGACAAAGACAAAGAGAGAATCTTTAAAGAGAAAATCTTTTTAAAAATCTTTAGAGAGGCCGGGCACGGTGGCTCACGCCTGTAATCCTAGCACTCTGGGAGGCTCAGGCAGGCGGATTGTTTGAGCTCAGGAGTTGAAGACCAGCCTGAGCAAGAGCGAGACCCAGTCTCTACTAAAAATAGAAAGAAATTAATTGTACAACTAAAAATACATAGAAAAAATTAGCCGGGCATGGTGGCACATGGCTGTAGTCCCAGCTACTTGGGAGGCTGAGGCAGAAGGATTGCTTGAGCCCAGGAGCGTGAAGTTGCTGTGAGCTAGGCTGACGCCGCGGCACTCACTCTAGCCCCGGCAAAAGAGTGAGACTCTGTCTCAAAAAAACAAACAACCACAAAAAAAATTTAGACAGAAAAACATCTTACATGTTGAGAAACCAGGATAAGAATTACATCAGACTTTTTGTCAGGAACCATGTAAGCAAGAGGAGAGTAGCATGAAATACTTAAAATGTTGATACAAAAAACCCCCAGCAGCTTAGAATTGTATGTCCAGCAAAATTATCCTTCAAAAGTGGAGGAGAAAGACTTTCTAAGATGAGCAAAAGCTGAGGGAAGGTGTCACCAGTAGATCTGACTTGCAAGAAATGTTAAAAAATTCTTCAGAGAGAAGGAAAATTATCTGGGTTAGAAAATTGGATCTGCATAAAGAAAGAAAGAGCATTAGGGGTAAAAGAAAGTAAATAAAATTCTGTTTTCCTTATTATGAATTGATTGAATAGTTGACTATTTTTTCAAAGTAGTAATAACCACAATGTACTGGGTGATTGTAGTATATGGTCAAGTGAAATGAATGACAGCAATGTTATAGGATGGGAGGGGAGAATTGGCACTATCTGTTGTAAGGTTATTTGAAAGTAGACTTGGATTATTTGTAAACGTATATTTTAAGCACAAAGACAATTACTAAAAATAATTTTAAAGGAGATATAATTAATATGCTAAGAGAAGAAAAATGTAGTCATTTAAAATGCTTAATTAAAACCATAGAAGGCAGAAAAAGAGGGGAAGATAAAAGAAGAACAAATGTGATTAATAGAAAACAGTTACAAACGCGGTAGATATTAATCATATCAAGACATTTTATAGGGCAGAAAATTGAAAATAGCTACAGAAAATGGCAGCTAAGGGCAAAGGAAGGTACAAATATGTTAATTATAAAATTTGTGCTCTTTAAAATAAACAATTGGTGACTTTAAACACAGATTTATTGGATTTCCTTATAAAACTCATTGTGCTCATATATTCAGGTTTTCATTTTAACACATCTCTGTCTTCTGGAAGAAATATGGCAATTAACTTTTATTCTACTAAAGAAAAAATATTTTGATTCAATACTCAATCTTTGTAAGTTTTTTTTTTTTAATACGAGATTCCTTTACTTAAATACAGTTTCTTGGCTTCTTATGCTGCTACTATTTTCAGCAGAGACTGAAAATGTCTAAGTGGCTCTAGACTACCTCCCAGCTTGCTCTCTACTGCCCAGGGGCCTGGGCGAGCATGATAATGACCCTTTTGGTCCTTTACTTTCTGTTTGACCTTAGCTGGGCCCTCAGTCCTTAGCCCTCAGGAGCTGTGTTTTCTGTGTTTATCCTGAAATGGTGCGTACAAACAAAGTTTACACTGTCAATCTAATATGCAAATAATTTCAGTGGTGATGTGTACATGACTTATTATTTCATGAATAACTTGAAAGTTGTTATTCTTTCTTCCCCTTGAGCTGATTTTTAGAAACAACCTTTGAGTATTATTTTTCTCAAAAATTCTCTGCTGGCTTAAGTCTGTGAAGCACCATTAGAGCATCTGGGGAGAGGTCTGGAAAGACATGAGGCAGCCTTGGGTACACTGCCTGTGTGTGTGATGGGCCTCTTGAATAAGCAAACTGCTCTCAGACCCAGGCCACGGCCAGCGCTCTATGAGGCCAAATGTAAAAGAACAAATAACAAAGCAAAAGGACTCGAAGCTGAGTGACAGTGTGTGCCTGTCATGTTTCAGGCAAAAATCCTACTAGCAGAAAATTTCACATTGAGGATAATGTCACCTTGAAATGAGATGACTTCTTGGGAAGCAGCAAGAGAAAGTTAATGTAAAATAATGTCAAGGCATTAATGTGTCACTTTAATGATGTTTCGTTTCAGGAATCTTTTCATTTTATAATTTCTTCATTTGTGTTTAATAGAAAGGTACATTTTGTTCTGCTTTATAGTTTCCAGGGGTGATAGTAATTATAGTCTGTGCTTTAATTGTTCTTAATTGGTATTAAGTAGTAGTCATTTTAGCATATGGAAAATTAAAATAGAAATGTAATAGTACTGAGAGCTTCACAGTTGTTAGATGTTCTTAACCAGGGAAATGTGACAAATTAAAAGCCAAATGGTTAAGTTGTGTTATTAAAAACAAACAAAAACAATAAGGAAAACAAAACAACAGATGGCATAATTTACCCCCCTCACATTATTCTTTACAGGTCTCCATCATTCCCAATAGTTAACGCTACAGTTTTTGTTCAGTGTATACCCATCGCATATTGGTTTTCTTCAATGCTTTATTTCAATCTAGTTATCATTTGTACATGTAAATTTTTCATAGGAGATTGTATATGCATAAAAATGCAGATTGTCAAGCAATTTCAAGATTTCTCATTTTCTATGGAAATCCATTTGCTTATTTTCCATAATTTTATTAAAATCAGTCTTATTTTTGAGAAAATATGAAAATTTGATGAACTAGTAAAAT